GCTCCTGATTATGATGCTTTGGATGTTGCCTACAAAATTGGGATCATCTAAACTGAGTCCAGCGGGCTAATTCTAAATATAAATTTTTCTCACCAAAAAAAAAAAAAAAGATCCAAGAATAAAGCTAAGGATCTCCCAAGATCTCTTACTCTGGGCTTAAGCCACCTGTTACTTTTCCTGGCCCCTGGCCTCACTTTACCTCTTTGGCCTGGGCTTCTTTCCCAATATGGTCTTGCTATTCCTGTTTAGGATATCTCTTGTATATTTCCAGGTTTTATCTCCATCTATCTCCTATTCTCTGCCCCTATGCACTCTATGTGATCCTTTTCTAGGACTCTTAACTCTGCCATCTGAATTTTTTTCCTCCAAAAGTACTCCCTAATTCTGACTAATTTCCTTTCCTCCTCTTTTAGATCTTTTCTGTTATCACTTTCCCCCTGACCTTATCATCATCCCTTAACCTGGCCCTGGCTCAGGTGCTGGGCACCTGGCACTCACCCCACAGTCAGTGGCCACCGTGTACTCAAAGTGGAACATCAGGGACCAGATGATGCAGAAGAAGAATCCGAACACTGGGAAAGTGACGACCCACCCAATCATGGCTGTGAAGCGGAGCCGGAACACAGTCCCATCGAGGTCCGGGGGCTGAGAGGCCGCAGAGAACATCCTGTGGGAAGTATTGCCAAGGCATGCCAAGGGATACAACTAGGGGCTTTTTGAGACACCTAAGCCTGGGAGAGTGGAGCCTTTCCAGAACTAGCTCCTTAGGGAAGAGTCAAAGTCAATTGAAAAGATTATAAGAGAAAAAAGAAGACAGTACAGAAGAGAAGGAGTTATACAGAGAGATGGACAGACAGGAAATTAAGTTTATAAGTCACCATGGTGCAATGGTTCTAGACAATTGTTCCTCAAGGTCTATCTCTTGAAGAGCATAGAGAATAGAAGCTCTCAGGAGCTTAGATATGGGAGATGTGATAGTCCATCTCACTTTCATGACTTTCACACCCAAGCCATATTGTTATTATTCCCTTCCCACAGAAGGATAGACTGGAGTACTGAATTATGTGAGGATCAAACACTAGGATTAAGGCCTCTTTCTACCTGATAGCTTACAG